CAAATGTTTGATTGAAAATGTTGAATTTTAGTTAGACAGGGAACGTTACCTGGAAATATGTTCACTTATATTATTCGTTGAATTCGCAATCACTCGTTAAACACAAAGTTCAAACGCATGACTTGCACGCAATTTTTTAAATAGTTCAGGATACATGTATATTTATTAAATTTAATTTTCTCCGAAATTATCTTTGAAAGATTTTTTTTTGGAACTTTTTTCTTTCTTCTCCACCATTTATCTTTGAAAGATGAGTCCGAACATAATCGACGAATCACTAATTCGATATACACGACCAAAAAAAAAAAAATTCGATATATAGTGAGTTTCTAGAGGTCCTAAACAAACTCTTTGATTTAGTTAATAATAAAAAAAATTAGCAAAAAAATATATCAACTCGTGATAACTTATAACTAATATAAACTGATTTAAATGTAAAATTATTTTGAAGCATCTCCAATTCTTCATCTTTTCAAAGTTCAAACCAAATTACTGTAAACAGAAAAGAAAAAAATTAGGTCCCTAGCCTTTTCAATCCAGACATCAGAAGAACTTAATTAGTTTTTTTTTTTGTCACAAGAAATTAATTAGTTTAGTTCAATCATTTTTCTTATAGAAAGCTTGCTTACTTGTTTTCTTATATAGGGATATATTAAAATTTTAGTGAACCGCTTAATTATATATATACTGTAGATCTAAAATAAAATAGATTGGGGTTTATAACAGTAAAATAAATCAATTTTTAGTGAACCGCTTAGTTTAGACCCAAAACCCTTTGTGACTTGGTTAGTTTGTTCATTGCTGGTCTCCGCGCCGCCTTCTCAAAGTCCATCACCCTCTCCGACCAATCGTCTGATTTCCGTAAGATTTCTTCTTCCAATGTTTCTCTTCGATCTCAAAGCATACTGATCGAAACACCTTGTCCCCTTCCGATCGATTTACCTAGATTACTCAAGAGTATCGAAATTTCGCTGTTTTAGCTGAGCTTTGGAACCCTAATTTTTGGGGGATCTTCCGATTGATTTGCCAGATTATCTTCTTAACCCATGTCTTTGTTTTGTATTTCCAGGCTTAAAGTATGGAGCTTTCTGATCTAACTAATGGCAAAAGCAACAAACCGAAGAACCCACCAAAACGTTTCGTGAAGAACCAAATCCCTGAATCAATCCTCGGTGATGCATCTCTCAACGCTGCAATCTCACTGTTGCCTTCGATTTACCAGTTTGAGGTACATAAATGCGTTTGGAGGATCAAATCATCAAACGCTAAACGCATTGCTTTGCAGCTCCCTGAAGGTCTTCTTATGTATGCTCTAACACTCTCTGACATTTTCACATCTTTTGCTGGAGCTTCTCACTGTTTTGTCCTCGGTGATGTTACTTATGGAGCTTGTTGTGTTGATGATTTCTCGGCTTGTGCCCTTGGTGCTGACTTGCTTATTCATTATGGACATAGTTGTCTTGTTCCTATTGACTCTACAAAAATCCCTTGCCTTTATGTCTTTGTCGAGATCCAGATCGATGTGAAATGTCTGTTGAACACCATTCATCTTAATCTCTCTAGTGATGCCAAGAACATAATTCTTGCGGGTACGATTCAGTTTACCTCGGCGATTAGAGCTGTGAAACCGGAGTTAGAGAAGCAAGGGTTTAGTGTTTTGATCCCTCAGTCTAAACCTTTGTCGGCTGGTGAAGTCCTGGGGTGCACAGCACCTAAGATTCCGACGGTTGAGAATCGTGAAGACGCGGTGCTGGTGTTTGTAGCTGACGGGAGATTTCATTTAGAAGCATTCATGATAGCTAATCCGAAGATAAAGGCGTTTAGGTACGATCCATATCTTGGCAAGTTGTTTTTGGAAGAGTACGATCACAAGGGAATGAGAGAGACGAGAAGAAGAGCAATTGCAAGGGCCAGGGTTGCAAAAACTTGGGGGATCGTGTTGGGGACATTGGGAAGGCAAGGAAATCCCAAGATTCTCGAGAGGTTAGAGAAGAAAATGACGGAGAAAGGGATAGATAGCACCGTTGTTTTAATGTCGGAACTTAGCCCCACAAGAGTAGCATTGTTTGAAGACTCGGTGGATGCTTGGGTCCAAATAGCGTGCCCGAGACTTTCGATTGATTGGGGTGAAGCTTTTCTTAAGCCGCTTCTGACAACTTTCGAGGCTGAGATTGCTCTAGGATTCATCCGTGGTTGGTGGGAGAATGGTTCTTCGAACAGAGCAGATTCTTCCTCTGTCTGTTGCAAAGAGGACAAAGAAACAAGCTGTGCGTGTGGAAATGCAAACGTGGAAGCTGATAAGAAAGACGATGATGGGGTACTCGATGGAGACTATCCAATGGATTATTATGCACAAGAAGGTGGAGAATGGAACTCTTCATATCTCAAGAAGTCATCTCGTCCCATTCGAAAAAACCCTTTACCTTCTTCTATAGTTTAGAATGCTCTGAGGTTTCGATGAGTAAATTCACTGCAGATATTACCCAAGTGACTCAAAAGGCTAATAGGTTTTGATGATGTTCCTGTTGCCGTCAAGCTTCTTCGGATGCATTTCTCGGCTTGGCCCGTAATCTTCTGGTGAAGAATGTTTACTTGGGGAGTTCTTGAAGGGAAACCAGCTTGTTTAATGTTTATGAGAGTTTGACAGAACATGAAGAGTGAAGACTACTCATGCTCAATTTTGATACAAGCGGTGAGGATTAAACGGTTGATGTTTGTTGATAAGCTACAACACTTGTTTCTCTCCTTTACTATGATATTGTCTTCTCAA